TCTCATATTATTGTGAATGGGTGTGAGATTGTGGTGTTTCTGATTGTGTATTGGATGTATAATTTGTTGTGTATTTGTCTATCTTTGCATTCTTTACACTATTCATATTAAATGTTGTTTCTCACCCCTTTCCTAAATGTTGTCCACCATGGACAGCTTGCAGATACTCAGGAGTAAAGTTATTGTTGATTATGAAAGGTGGCTTGTGGGAGCTATTTTTCATTTCTAGTTTTCGTTTTCTCGCTATAATGTGGTTTTAGTGCTCTGATCTTGTAACATCGGAATCAGGCGTTTGTTATAATATGATTTTTTTGATGCATGTTGATAATTGTTGAAATTTTCTTTTGGGTTGTCATTGGCGACACCTTAACTTGTCGTGTAATTCTTTTTATACATGTTTTGGGGTTTAGGATGTTACATCAAATGCATGAAGGGTAGAGAGATCTCCATCCTCCTCTAGGTTTTTCATCTTTTTTCACCATTAAACTATTTATGTGTTTTTTATGAAAAAGTATGAATTTTATATGATAATTGTTGTGTAATTTTGTTTTATATATATATATATATATATATATATATATATATATATATATATATATATATATATATATATATATATATATATATATATATATATATATATATATATATATATATATATATATATATATATATATATATATATATATATATATATATATATATATATATATATATATATATATATATATATATATATATATATATATATATATATATATATATATATATATATATATATATATATATATATATATATATATATATATATATATATATATATATATATATATATATATATATATATATATATATATATATATATATATATATATATATATATATATATATATATATATATATATATATATATATATATATATATATATATATATATATGTTGTCGCCATTGAAGTATTTTTGGTCTCGCAAACATAATCTTAAATTCATGATTAATTGATGAAATTGGATGTTAATCAGTGCATATGTGATGTTTAATTATAGTATAATGTGTATTTGTCATTTTCTGGTCGATTTGGATGATTGGGGTGTTAAATCGGAGCTTGGAATTATCTCCTATGGTAGAAATCGTGTTCTGGATTTTCTACAACGCAATAGCGGATGTCACGGGCGTGATAGGATGACCATCAAGCATTTGGGCAAGTCGATAGTCGTCAGATGGGTGACGAGGAGACTGTCATGGACCCCAGACCCAAAATTCCTGTCGATCGTCACCTCGACGACGGGTTTGTGAGGAGAGAGATAACAGGTTGGGTGACGAGTTGGGTTGGGTGACGGTCATGTTCCTTTCGATGTTGTTTTTGTGTGAGGCTGATGTTTTGCTATCGTTATGATGTGTTTTTACAAGTTTAATTATTGTGATAAAATATTATGAGGAATTGAATAACATTTGAAATGTGAATATAATTGTATGATTATGTATTGTTAAATATATTTGTATATCATACTTGTTGTGTTGAGATGATGGACTTATTGGCAATGTACACTATCAGAAGTGGAGCCAATTGTGAATGATCATATTTGCATATTATTGTTGAGTTCATGTATCATGGTGTGCGGACTTCGGTTCGGTGGTGAGCTCTGGTTTAGAAGTGGGGATTGGGAGCGAGTAGCTGATTTTAGTAATGGGATCAGTGAAGCATTGTTGATTCGGTAATGGGTATCAGTGATGATAATCGCGGGCTCTGGTTCAGAAGAGAAGACCGGAGCGAGTATGGACGAAAATCAGTAACATATCTCTAATGTCTAAATCGGTACCAAATGCATGTAGAGTTTAATAGTGGGTACATTTTCCTACATACATGCATGTGTGATCGAATAATCATTATGATTGTTTATTATTGTGAATAAGCGTGTAATTGATGATTGCGATGAATATGTTACCCTTGCTATGTTTTTCACCATTAAAATATTTGACCGCATTCTCACTCATATGTGCTTGTTGTGGTGTCTCTGCTTATTTAGAGTACAGACAATCAGGTATCCCCACTAATCCTACTATTTCATTTATTCTAAACTTTTTTGTATTTTTCCCTTTTACTTACTTGTGTCTAACTATTTCAGCTATCCCCATTAATCCAAAAGATCTGAAGAAATAAAAGGAGACAACTAATAATGAAGACGTAGCGAGGGAAATAATACATGTAAATTTCTAAACCTTTATTCTATCAAAAGTATGGACCTTTTTCACAAAACTTAGTCTTCTTTATTCTTATCTTCCAAGGTCATAAGAGAGGAAACACCTCCACCTTTTCCCCTCATGCTACGAAGATGGTTAAGAAGAATAAAGATAGTGAAGTTCCCGACCAAGAAGGGACACAGGTTCAACTTACTCTCCTTTTGTATTTCATTTCTTCCTATTATCCATTGTCATACTAACAATTATGAATACCTCAAGAAGCAAGCAAAGAGGGGGCATTCATTGTTGGGAGTGACAAAAGCCTGGTTTCGAATCGTCTTATCCCTTCCAAAAAAATTAGTGTGACTATTGCAAGGGAAGAAGGGCAAAGCTCTTGCTAAAACCACTGAACCCCACCACGCGGGAAAGAAAAATAAAGCAAAGAAACATACTTCTGAAGGCAACTCCTAGAAATTCAAAAAATAAAATATTGCTACAGTTGATGATGAGGGGCATGGAGAAGAGGGACACCCCTAGCTGATTAGGAAGAAAAAAGAATAGACAAATCCACCTCAACCTAGCAAAAGCCCATAGAGTGCTTACTTAATGGTACCTAGGAACTGGTTCTTCTACCCCCTAGAAATCTTTGGTAGGTTGTGTTGGCTTTGTGAAAGTTGATCTAGATGGTAAGATTGATTGATTTAAAACTCGTTTGGTAGCCAAATAATACACTCAAATTTTTGGGTTGGATTATAGTGATACTTTATTGTTTGTATCTAAGATGGAATCAGTTAGACACATCTTACCATTGCAGTCATTCTACATTGGCCTCTTCATTAACTTGACATCAAAATTTCAGTTTTACATGGTGATCTTGAAGAGGAAGTGTATATGGAGCAACCACATAGATTTGTTTCTCATGGGGAGTCATCGACCATGGTTTTTCGGCTACAATAGGTATCTTTATGGTCTTAAGCATTCTCTAAGAGCTTAGTTTGGAAGATTCGGCACTATAATACAATAGTTTGGTATGGTTCATAGTGAAGTCGACCATTATGTTTTTTATCGTCACTAAGCTCGAGGATGTATTTACCTTATTGTGTATGTAGATGATATTATCATAACTAGTAGTTATCAGCGAGAAATAGTTCAGTTAAAACAACATCTTTCAAATCAATTTAAGATGAAAGACCTTGGTAAACTCCGTTATTTTTTGGGTATTGAGGTAGCACAATATAAGTATGGTTTGGTAATTTCTCTATAAAAATATACTATGGATATTTTGGAAGAAACAAACTTGTTGAACATTAAACTAGTTAATACTCTTATGGTTTCAATTGTCAAACTCCTATCTAATAGGGGGAGCCTATGTCTGACTCATGGAGGTATATGAGATTGGTAGAAAATTTAAATTATCTCATTGTCACTCATTTGGACATTTTGTTTGCAGTTAGTGTAGTAAGTCGGTTCTTAAATTCTCCTTACCAAGAACACATGGATGGTGTTATCTTAATTATGAGATACATCAAAATTATAGCAGGAAAAGGTCTCATATATGAAGATATAGGACATACTCAGATAGTTGGATACTTCGATGTTGATTGGGCATGCTCATCCATTAATATAAGTTCCACCTATGGATATTGTGTACTTGTTGGAGAAAATTTGATATCCTAAAGAAAAAAAAAGTAAGAAACAAAATGTAGTTGCAAGACCAAGCGTCGAGGCAGTGTATAAGACAACGGAACTGGTAACATGTGAGCTCATTTGGTTAAATCATTTGCTCAACGAACATTAAATTAAAGAAGTAAGACCAATGACACATATTTTTATAATCAATTTGCATTGTATATTGCTTCAAAACTATTCTTCCATGAGATGACCAAACATATAAAGACCAATTGTCACTTTGTCAAAAGAGAATATCGAATCATGCGACATCATCATAAGCTTTGTCAACTCTAATTATCAATTGGCAAATGTATTTATAAAATTCATACGATGTCCAAAAACTAATTATATATGTAGTAAACTTGATGCATTTGATTTATATGCTTAAGCTTAAGAAGGAATATTGATATTTGTATATATTAGAATAGAATATTGCATAGTATATTCCTTAATTAATAGGATTAGCTTTATATGGTCACTTATGATGTATTTAGAGTCGGCCCAACTAGTCTGGAGGCTCAGCCCTAATTTTTAAAATAGGTTAAAATTTAAAAAAAAAAATACAATTTTAAAATTATAATTTTACATCTATTTTTAAAAAATTGATATAAAATTACAAAAGTTTGAAAACAAAAGTTTTTAAAATTACAAATGTAAAATGTATTGTTTTTGTAATTAAAAAATATAAAATTGGGCTCCTCAGAATTTGAGGTCAAATGCTATAGCAAGGAAAGACCAACTCTTAATGTATCTTTTGTAGTGCTATTAAAATAAATGGTTTTATTCAAATGTCTTTCATCCTCTCTAAATCTGATTCGTTTAAATATACCGCTCTAAGTCATATTCGTCTGCGTGAAAAATACTCTTAAATTTGTTGTGCTTTCCAGAAGCATTATGCATATTTTGAGGTAACATTTGTTTTCGTTACTCTTTGATTTATGTGAGAGAATTCGCTTCATCTAAATTTGCACAAGATTATTCTAATAGCAGGGCATCAATCCCTCAACATTTTAGAATGGTAAACATGGACTTAAAATTACATATCCACATGATTATTCTGTTCATGATTTTATTCTGTCTTTAAAGAAAATAGGGATACGAAAAACAACACTTCAAACTCTATCACTAGAGCTAAACATCTCTAATATCTCTAATCCAAAATTCTGAAATGATGAATTTGGATATTCTCAACCTCGCGTTTGTTGAAATCACTGCGGTTTCTATTAGCATAGAATTTACCAATATTGTATGGTTTATATTTGGCAGGATTCTTGTCATTCACCAGTTCTTCTGCTGGTTTCGCCGTAACATGGTGACCTGGATAAAAGAACAACGGAATTGAAAACCTTTCTTTCTGTGTGTTTACTACTACCCTGTGTTCGATACTCTGATACCTATCATTGCTCCAAACCTGCAAAAATATTCAACACTTCATATCTATGAATCACAGTCCACTGATACCAGACACGACACTCACTAACACTCACTAGGACACCAGACACGACACGAACATTCATATATCCTTGCTTTGAAAGAAACATACCTGAACAACGTCACCGACATTGATGATGAATGCAGTAGGAGTAGGTTTAACAGGAATCCAATCACCAACAGATTTTCTTTTAACTTGTAAGCCTCCAATTTCATCTTGTGCAAGGACAGTCAAGGCACTAGAATCAGTGTGACGACCAACACCAAGTGCCAAATCAGGGAAAGGACACGGAGGATAGCGATTCAGCCTCACCATGCTTAGTTGATTCTTGAAGCAGTCATGGAATTTGTCACCAGGTAAGCCTAAGCTCAATGAAATCAACTCCAATAACTTGTAAGATAGCTTTTCCACTTCCCTAGCATATTCCTCCATTGTTTCCCTAATGAAGAAAAAACATAATTTTCAATCTAGATATGTGATTATAATTTTTATTCATTTGATAAGATATAAGATTAGACCTGAAATGAGGAGGGTATTGTGGCCATTGGTTGGTGATAGTCCTTAGCCCCGAGTCATTTGGTTCATGAGAAGAAGGAACTTGTGTTGTATTCTCAACAAGAAAATCAAATACCTCTTTCCAATCCCTTATGTTCTTAGTATGTTCTGCATCATGATACCCCATTGCATTGACCGCATCTCTTTTCACTTTCTTCTTCTCCTCTATGTTTTGCTCAAAGAACTTCTTGGCCTCAATTTCAACCTTTTTGCTAACATCAGAGGGAACTCCATGATTGATTACTTGAAAGAACCCCCATTCTTCACACGCCTTGCCAATCTCTGAGACCAGGTTTTGTCGATTACTTTGTGAGAGGTCAATGATTGGAATTTCATCAACTTCGACAAAGGTGGATAAGTTGGGACGGTGTTCTGTGGATTGTATGTAAGCTGGATCTATGTCTTCCATGTCTTGAGTTTTATTTTTCTTCTTTCTTGTTTCTCGTCACGGGTTTATAGAACTACTATAAGCAAATAAATACAGTCAATGTGGACGTTTTTCTAATTGAAGGATGAATATGAACAAAATATGGTGAGAAACCATCAATAGAATTTTCATTTAGAATATTACTTCATTTTATTCATATTATATAAAAAATATTTTATTTTATTATTATTATACAAAAAAAATTTTAATAGTAAATAATTAATGGATATAGACTATATGCACATATCAAATGCATTGATTATTAAATACAATAAATAATTAAGTAAATAGTTAATAGAATTTTCATTTCTATAATATTACTTCATTTTGTTCATATTATATAAAAATTATTTTATTTTTTTATTATTATATATATAATATTTTATTTTATTCTTACTATATAAAAAAAAATTAATACAATAAATGATTAATGAGTGTATATCATATGTACAGACCAATTGCATTGGAGTAAATAATTAGTAGAATTTTTAATTCTAGAATATTACTTCATTTTATTCTTATTATGTTAAAAATATTTTTCTTTTATTCTTATTATATATAAAATATTTTACTTTATTCTTATTATATATAAAATATTTTTAAATACAATAAATAATTAATAGATATGGATATAGACTATATGTAGATACCAAATGCGTGATTAATTTTTTTATAATAAGTACCAGAGAAAATGTCTATTTTTATCAAATGATTTTTAATGTATTAACTTTAAACCTTATCTCCAATAAAGTGGAAAAGGTAAGCTTTAAAATGAAAAATATAATATTCTCAACTCCAACTACCGCTATTTTTCACTTAATAAAATTTATTCTGAATTCGGTACTATTATTCTTAAATATAGTTTAGTTTCTTATTTTATGCGAGTCATAAATAATTTTTTATTTTAAATTTAATAAATCATCTATTTTAAATTTAAACATTTATAAATGTGCCATTTAAGGTGCGTATCATTTGAGATACGACAAAAAATTATGAGGTTTTGTAAAACTTGAAAGATAAAAAATTAAGTGACATGTGATCTGAAAATATAACCAACACGAAAACCATTTAAATTTTAAATAGAGAACGAGTGTTTGAATTTAAAACAGAGAATAAATTGCATCCATAGAATATGAATAAAAGTATAAACTAAGCTAACTTTACTATGGTTTTTTCATTTCATTCAACTTAAAAAAGTATCAATAAAAAAAACATTTAATACTAATACATAGTGAACAGATTCTTTAAACTAGAACAATAATTCAATAAAATAAAAATTGCATATATCTAATATAAGAACTGATTTGATGGTTTGAGAAAATAAAGGGAAAAAAGGGACTACACGGTTCAATTTTACAGGACAAATCTGTCCCAGTTCAAACACTACTAAAGAGTGCGTACCGCTCAATCATCAATATGAACTAAAAAATCTGATCCAGCATAGTTGAGTGGTATCACTTTTGAAATTAAATCCTGAACTATTTACAAAATAAAAACATTGGTGTTCAAGCAGCATTCATTGAGGTTGAAAGGACAACGTGAGCTAAAAATTGCACCCCGTCCTGGATTTTACTTATTGCTGTGGTTTGATCAGCTCGAAGGTGTTCAGTGAAAGAATCGGCTTTTTCTTTAACTGATGATGCCTTGGGAACATCTGTGGGAGACTCAGCAGTAACACCTTTAATGGCAGCTTGATAGGCCTCAGATACATCAGATATGCCTGATAAATAAATGCGCATTAAAAATGTCAACTGTCAAACGATGAACATAACTCTGTATTTGCTGCTTTAGAAGAGATTATTCATGACTTATTTGGAATTATCTTATGCCACAAACATTTATGTAATGTCTGAAAGTGTTTGTAGAAATAACTTGCTGACATATCAGTGTTTTTGTTTCATTATGCTCTCTGAGTATAGCTTGCGAAAAACATCATAACAGCTTTTTTATTAGAACTAGATTAAAATGCTAAAGCATCACTATAGAACCTAAAATCCCAATTACGTTAACAACTCAGAGTCTACTAATCATCCGCACCACACCAAAACCTTGTTAAAAATAAGCAAAAGCACAACGGCATGATCCTCCCTAATAAAGAAAATTAGATTTCCTGCTGTAACAGCAGGCTACTGTAATAAATATGGACTGTTGGATTTTAACTCAATAGCCGAGATTTTTTACCATGTCAAACTAAATTTAAAATTAAACCACTTGATCTCAAATCAACGGTTGATATTGGCTGGTTGATATTGGCTACAACGTGAAATTGTGTAAAGATTACAGCAGTGAATCTGGACCCGTAATAAAGCTATACAGGAGTGGCATCCCACTGAGCATCCGTTACAACATATGATATGCAATGCCAAAAGAAGCTAATTAATCGGCACAACTATTTCCTTCCAAATGAATAAGACTTTAAATTGCATAACCTGCATGAGCATTATAGAATTCCCAACAACTTTTAAAGGCCCAAAGAACTATGCCAATATCCTCAAAGGCCTTAATCCCAAGGAATAATAATTTACAGTTTATATGAAAGTAATTTACAGTTTATATGAAAACAACTTACTGATATTTCCGTTTAAATTATAACCTTACTGTCTTAACTATGAATTACTTTAATAATTCGTTTTAAAATATTAAACTGTTAGTGATTGTTCCAGGATTGGGTAAAAAAATCATCATTGTTTCATGAATAACCACATCAACCCACTGCATACCCATGATTGAAAATATTCATAAAACATAATCATGACCATAGATGGAAACAATAGACAACCAACCTGTAATAAAGCTGTTGGAAACTGCTTTCAAATATCCAATCATTGTCTGGGTATTTATCCTTATGATCTTAGCTTTTTCAGAAACGTCTTCAGGCCACTCTATGTTAGCCTTATCGGCGTCAATTTCTTCATCCTCAGTTTTGTTGGCAAGAGAAATGAAGGATTTGCCTAACGTAAGAAGTTGTGACACCGCGAAACAGCACATTTCAGACAGTCTCTGCAAAGTAAAGCAGTGCTATTATACTCACTTGTACAACAAATCTTGCATGTTGATGTAAAGAAAGAGAATAAATTTATAATTAATAGAAATTAATATAGCATGAATATTTTCTCGTACATGAACTCCCTCGGAATGAAGAGAGTCTATTCTTCCAGAAGTTCTCTGAATTATATCATTAATAGCTAGGCCAGCCAAGGCATTCGTGAAACTGAAAAATGAAATAGGATGTGTCACATTCCTCAATCTATCAGGGTAAATGATTATCACACTTATATAATGACTATAGCTGCAGATAGAAACAGGATCACAAAGTGGAAGATAAAAAGAATATTTTGGTCAAGTGATCAAAGCAAACACATTTCTAAGTAATGGATGGTATTTTAGCTTTAGTAATACTAATCCTATGAGTGCAAGCACATTTTGTCCATGTTATCATCGTGCGTTCAACCCAACATTCAAATTTACTACATTATGAACATTTTTTAAACCCATAATTCGACACCCTTAGAAAGAGAATTATGATAATCAGCACAGCAGAAATGTCTCAAAACTATGGCAGCAATAGTATGCAGATGAAACATTTGAGCTAAATTACCCAGCAGCCATTTCAGCAGCCTTGCCAACACTTGAATCATGTAAGTTCTTTATCTCATCACTGCTTCCCCCATTCTCTCTCTTTATTGTTTTTCCTTTGTTAGAATCAGCTCCAGCATCAATTTCAGTACTCAAATCAAAAATTTGTTGCACCTCTTTAAGCTTCCCTTCAAATAAAGATTTTTGCTCTGCAGATAATTTTGTTTTTCTCCTGTTAAACAACAAGGCATAATGACTAGACAAAGCCTCCAGTTCCTGAGTATTCCAGATGAAATAATTTGTTAACCCCAAAAATCTAAAATACTGTGCAAATGCAAGTGTTGAAACTACAGGGACTTTGGTGTAGAAGAAACAGGAGAAAACAAACTCTGAAGAGCAGAATAACAGTAGTAATAGTAATAATAATAATGACATGGTTAGTAATGATGTGCTACAAAATATATTAGAGTTATTGAACACTAGACTCCTAACTCGATTTAAAAAATAAAAAACAAAACATGGCATATGAAACCAACTCCAAGAGATCATGTATAATACTCAAATGATATGTTTGATGTGGGTGAAATTGGGGAGATAGAGGTTGTAGAGCGAGCGAGCAAGCTTCTCTTGTTAGGTTTGAAGAGAAATAACAAAGAAACACAAGAAATGTGGGCCCCGCTGCTTTTGGCTTCCCTCGCATGCGGAGAAATGGCAGTGAAAATGTGCTATTTATTCAACCAAACAGAGAGATTTTTCTCTCTTTTCTTTCCCACATACCAAACAATGTGCTATATAAGATTTATCTAATTTTCTCTCTACTTCTCCCTCCCCTCCCCTCCAAATTCCCAAGCAAAGCTAACAAATTCTGCAAGATATAATAATGATTTTATAAATAATATCCTAAAAATCTTAAAAAGGAAGTTACCTCCAGCTGCTCCGGACCTCCATAAATGTAAAAACATCGATCAAATGTCACTTCTTCGAATAATTGATCTCCATCACCTTCTTTTCTAGCCTTTTCAACCTCAATTCCAGTTTCACTGATTAATAAGTCAATTGTCTCCTTACCCACATATTCAAGCACTTGCATTCCTTTTGCAGTAAAAGCTTTTCCAGTCTGTTACATAATAAATAGAGATAACCATATATATGTAACCACAGATAAAAGAAATCATATTGAGAATGACACTAGTTTTTCAAACCTCTAACAGGGAAGGTGCATTAGAACCTGCAGCTCCTGGTCCATCATGTTGTACAGCTCCTGCAAGGTTTGAAGCTGAATTCTCGAGCCTAGAGAAAATATTTAGATTAATAGCTGTAAGTCAACCAAAAAAAAAAGATTGTTGTATAATAGAAAGCATACTAATATTAAACCAAGTTCAGTGGCTTTTACACAAAATTAAAGGTAACAGATCTCCATTGCTTATCAACAGATACTGAACAATTTGCTAGAAAGCATGGAAAAGCCATCACTTTGAATAACCGATTGAAAAAAAAAAAAACTCTTCGCAGTCAACATCTATACAATAAATCTATGAAGCACGGACACTGAGACATGACACGGACACGAACACTCCGACACCGATAATGTCAAAACATAGGACACCGACACCGCAATATATAATAGAGTATTTCAACTTTAATTATGCATCTATGATTAAAAAAAACTGAAAATAATCTAATCAAAATTAATGTCTTTTGATAACATTGCTTAAATACATGTATTACAATTTTAAATTTGTGTGAGATTTGTCCAAAATATATATAAAAGTGTATTAAAGCAAAGAAAAAATACAAATTTTTGTTTGAAACACTTGTCTGAATTGTTTGACATATATATTATGAGTGTCATACGGGTGTCGACCATTGATTCGAAGAGTGTCGAAACAAGAAACAAAATATTTTTTAGTGGACACTTGTCTGACTTTTCCAACACTTCTTTGACTTTTCCGACACGTGTCGTATGGGTGTCATACAAGTGTCGGACACCGACACGTGTCGGACACCGTGGCACACCTATTCCTAGAGGTGTCCGTGCTTCATAGCAGTAAATATAAACAAGACTGAAAGAAAACAACCAAACAAAGTCCGGAGAATACATTCTAGTAGTCTTGTCCTTTGTTTTTGTAATCATCTATTTTTCTTTAATAAAATCACTTCATATATGAACTCTATGGAGTGCAGAGTCAATATGATCATAAGCTTAGTGTCATAGATTTGGACATTGTGTGGTAGACGAATCAACATATAAGAAAATATGTGATTAGGAATACATACATTAGAAAGAAAGTAAGGATAGATCTATAGAGGAAAAGATGATAGAGCCTTGCCTAATGTAAAGAGGCCCAACTAATCATCCACTTTGTAACAGTATTGGAAATACTAAAGGTGAAGCATTTGGTCTAACCTTTATTCCCCTTTAAAAAATCGCACAATAAACTAGTTACAAAATACATAGGTGTGTATTTTCATCAAAATATATAGAAATCACCATACTATTGATCAGGAACTACACTAACTAACAATCCAATCTTCATGGAGGTCAACATGAATAATAATAAAAAAAAATAATTAAAAAATTAAAACAATGAATCATACTTGTGTACTAAGTCACTGCCCCCTCTCCACGCATTTCCTAAAGCACTCCATGCTCCAGAAGCAAAAGTCTCCACAGAGTTATCAAAAACCTTCAAACCCTACACAAATTAGAGTCAAGTATAAGTAATGGAGAAAGTACAGACTAAATAACAACATGAAACACATTTCCCCTCTATGTGGGGTTGTCTACATGGATCAAACAACAGCATAATGTGCTTATCAAAACAAAAACAATAGCATAATGTTCTATCCTAATTCATATCTAATGATAAGGTACTATATATAGGCTAGCAAAAAGAGTAAAACTTGCATCCATAAATACAAAATTATATTTTACTGTTACATTTTGCACTAACGCTAAACCATCTGTTGTCTCTTAAAAAACAATATTTCCTACAACTACAAGTCAAGATAATCCATGAATACCGTAAAAACATAGGCTAGAAGCTCAATTAAGTATTATTTTCATTGCTACATAGCAGAAAAGATATCAGCATAAAAAAATTATTAAAAAAAATGTGAACATGAAACATGAGTATTTGTTATTTCATAGTAAAAACATGAGAACAAACCTACATAATATACACAGAGATGCTAAATTAATCTTATTTTGAAATGCATTGAAGATCTAACATCTAAATCTCAAATTCTCCCCCTCCCCTTCCCAAAAATAAAAGTATATTTTGATGGTTGCCTGGCTAAGCAGTGAATCTTCACTAGCTTTCTCCAATTTATCCAGAGCAGACTTTCGCAATGGGGCAGTCTCGCTCTCATCGCCACTTTCCTTTGCAGATTCTTCCTCCCCTACATCCTCTTTGGGAGATTCAGAATCTTCAGCAGTGATTTGCAACTCTGCAATGCTCTTTGATGCTGTCTCTGCTACTGAAGCAGCCTGCATTTTGAAACACACCATTAATTCACAGCCAAAAGTCCTTGTATCAATTGATTGTTCCTAATATGCTAAAACCTACAAAGAATAACCCTTCCGTTGTTGTCATTTATATTAAGTAAAATTTACATAGTATCAACTAAATCAGTATCAAACAGTACCAACGAAAAACTGAGAAAAAAAATCTAAATACAGAAACCCATTACCCTAATGAACACAGCCACATTTGCAGTACATGATTATTAATACTGAATCATAAACTGAGATCACAAAATCAAAAACTAATTAATAGATCTAAATAAATGCATTGAACCACAAAAATATGCATAAAACGGCATCGTATCATTTAGAAATGTACATTGCGAGAGATCTCTTCAGCAGCGACAGCAGCGGCCTTCTGAAGATCGGAGAGAATGGAAAGCGGAGAAAATCCCCAGCCACCCCAATTTCCACCACCGGCTCCGGCGACCGACGGTTTAGGTTCTGCTGGTTGTTCAGTAACTTGGTCGTCGTCGTTTTTCTTGTTGTTAGACTGCGTTTGGTCATCCATTTGAAGATTGGAATAACGAGAGAGGTTTTAGAGAAGAATCGAGTGGAGATTATTGTTGAACTCGCGAAAGCTTGGAAGTTCGATCTACTAATTTGAATTTTGTTTTGGAGATGGAAAAAGTGCAATGGAAGAAAGAAACAGCAATGTGGGGCACGACTCGACCTTGAAGCGTGTGTTCTTAACCATCAGTGTCTCGCGTATTTGATCTCTAAATTATTACTACTAATAAGTAATCTTAAGCTATTATTATTATTAATTGATTAATTCATCTATTTCAAAAATATAAAAGAATAAAAAACACAATAGTAGTTAGGAAATCAAATTATTGAGAGTGCGAATTAGTGTTTGGAGACATTATTTATTTGTTGTTTACTTTGCATTGCAAATGACATTTTTAAGAGAAGTTTTCACCAGTTTTGTTGTTCAATTGGTTCAGATGATATAATTGAATATGTTAATTAAGTGATGGTTCTGATATATTAATCAAGTGATGATGTTTGGTATGCTGATCAAATTATGGTGTTTGATATGTTGATCAAGAGATGGTGTTTGATATGTTGCTCAAGTGATGGTACTTAAAGATCAAGATGATCAAGTTGTATTGAAGCTGAAAGGTCTGAAGATCATCTGATGTAGTGATCAAATGAATGTGTATGGTATTTAAGTTTGTGGTGCTTAGAGATTTAGTTATTTGTCTATTTATGGAAGACAGCACCTTATGTATGTTATACATGTGATTTCATAACAAAAGGGGGTGAATTGTGAACGTTTGAAAAATATTGATTGAAAACAAAGTTATTTGAAAAATCAGAGTTTGGAAATATCTTTTAAAACAAACAAATAAATATGCAGCGGAATAAAAAGATAGATGGAAAACCAACGAAAAAGAAAGTAAAGACCTACGAGAGAGAGAGAGAGAGAGAGAGAGAGAGAGAGAGAGAGAGAGAGAGAGAGAGAGAGAGAGAGAGAGAGAGAGAGAGAGAGAAGAGATTTATACAAATTCAGCCTAAAATGACTTATTTGTGTCCTTAAGAATTATTTTTTAGAGTATTCATTAATCTTGAGAGCTTTTAGAAGGATGTGCCCACAAATCTTCTTATACAAGGAAATGAAGTTTAAAGGTTAACTTCCAACCAAATAACGAACAAAGTTTAGAGTGGCTATCCTCCAAACCAAACAAAGATTTTCCACAAGCTAATCTCGAACTAAGATGGAGTTTTACACTGGCTATCATCTGAACCGAGATAGAGTTTTAAGTTGGATATCCTTTGAACCGAATTTAGATTTTATACGTGTTGACCTTGAACCGAGATGAGATTTTACACAAGCTAATCCCAAACCAACTGAGCTTTTACGCCATGTTAAACTCAAGAACCAATGTGGGATTTTATACAGACTAATCTCGAATTGATGGAGCTTTTAATTAGGCTGAGCTCAAAAATCATTGTGGAGATTTTAATGGTTGATCTTTAGAAACCAAAAGAGAATTTTTCTTCTTGACAAAACTCATAAATCGAATGAAGACTTCCTAAGACAATCCCCCAAATCAAACAAGAGTTTTTGTTGATTTAACTCGTAACCAAACAACTTCATATGGAAGAATATTTTACTCAAGATATAATTCACTCTTGATAAATTACAATTAAGCTCTCACCTAGAACCGTGATTCTCACTTAGACACAAAAGCACTCTCAAAACTTTAAGGCAAAATATATGTGACAAACCGAGAGATTTATAGAAAATAAGAGAGTATGAGAAAGTGAGATAAAACTCATTTTCTGGATTATATGGAATGATTGAGAAACTCTCGATTTATAAGTCAAATTAGGGTTTAAATTTGAAAAAAACCATATGCGAAATGAATGCCATAATCGATTATTGACCCTCAATAATCGACTGTGTTAGACTATGGCACGGATCTAGAAGGGGGGGGTTGAATAGATCCCCAATTAAAATTTGAGTCGGCGCTACCAATTTAATATTGGTTTTGAAAATATTTTAAGTGCGGAAGCGGCCGAGGAAAATTATAGTCTAAAAACGAACGGTTATTGGAAAACCAGATATACGTAAGCCTATGGATTTATGACAATTCGGAAAAATAAAATCACAACACAAACTATGCTTATCAATTGTTTACTTCAATTTGTAAGGTTGCCTAGTTCCAATGATTAACTAGACACACAAAAACTAGAAGCAAAATAAGACAATTTTAGTTCAGGACTTTTGTCGAACAGTTTGTGTGCACAAATATCTCAAAGGATATTTATGTTGAGTAAGGGATTGGAAATGCCCTAGTACAATATTTTTATTGTACTTAGTAGTTAAAAACAGAGTTTCAACACCTTACTCAATTTGAATCACAGTTTGACAACAATCACTTAAGCTAGAATCACTTATTTTATAAGCTGAATTGAAAATGACAGAAAATGAAGAACACACGATTTGATGAGGCAGTTCCCCCGTCGTCCTCGCTTCGGGGTACGTCTGCCCTCAATTCTAAAATTAGAATTGAGATATATTGAATATATATCACCTGTTGGAATGAACAGTTTACACAAGAGTTGATAGACAATGATACAAACAATCTCAAATGTTGTTGATGCTTGCTATCACTTCTTGCACCTTGATTCAAGATGAATCAAGCCCTTCAATTTGTTGTGAATGACCTCCGATTCCAGCCACCTTAATGAAAAACTTTCCGTTGTTCAAACCTTTGGCTCGGCTGATCTTAGACACCAACAAATCAAACCCGGAAAGTCTTCAACACTTCAACGCCCTCGCTACTAAACTGATGAACCTTCCGTTGATCAATTACCTTCGCACCTGCTTGAATGTTGAACGAACTATTCCGTAGCAAAAGCCCTCAAAACCTTCTAGTCTTGATGGGTAAAACCCTCAAGGTTTTCTGCAAGAAACACCTGCCCCAATTTCCACTCGAACCGGATCTTCAATCAACGCGTTCGAACCTTATCACCCTTTGAACAAGACACTAATCACAACAAAAATGATTTTGTATATTTGTGGATTTGTGTGTTGTGTGAGGGATGAAGATGAAGAAATTTGTTGCACCTATTTCACGTTTCTTGCCCTGATAATTTACTCAAGATTTCAATTGTTAGTTGTTAAAAATAAGCAAAACTCTATTTATAGTAATAACCAAAACAGCCAACAAAACAGAATTTTAAACACAGCAAGAAAAACAGCACAGCGCGCGAACGGTCGACCATAGGGTCGGCGTGCGCTGACCCGTGGGAAATCCTCAGCTCCATACGCTGAGTGGCACGGTCGACGCATGTCTTCATGCGCTGATCCGTGGAAAATCAAAACACTCATGCGTCGACTGTACGGTCGACGCATAGCTTCCATGCGCTGAGCCGTGAGAAATGCCAGGCTTCATGCGCCGACTGTATGGTCGACTCACTGCTTAGAAACCTGCAAAAATAACAGCTTTTTCCATTTTGTGCATCCTGCCACATTCAGTCATGACACATATTAAGGTATAATGATTTAACAATGAAAAAGAGGTATAGCAATGAAAAAGAGGTATAGCATGATGAGGTATTGCATGATGCTTCTAATTTGTCCAAGGTTGTGTTTTGTCATCATCGAAAACTCGGAGGCCTGTATTGTGAGACAACTTGCCCTCACATTCTCCCCCTTTTTGATGATGACAACCTGTTGCACACAACATGCGATGTCTTTAATCATAGTTGTACGCTCTCCCCCTTTCTTTTTCAGTCAAAGCATTTATGGTGGTTGACGCTTTCCTCCCCCTTTGACAACATCAAAAAGAAACCGAGAGCTATAAAGTCTTGACGGATTAACAATATAACTAACATAAAATCAAGAAAAAGCCATACAATATAGCCAACAGATAATAATTAAGCATACACTCATATTAATACATAATATTGATAAGAAACATAAAGTAGCAGCACATAAAGTCTTGACAGAAATTAGGAATTAAACAAAACACCATAACAAAGTTTGCAACCAAAAACAACGAAAGAGACTATGATGCATGCACTCAAAACAGCAAATGAAACCATAATAAGGCGAACACAAGCTAATAACCCTGTCCACGTCCACGACCACGGCCACGCCTCTCATAGAAATAGGGATGACGTTGAGGATGAGCCAAAAATCAGTGAACTCTTCAGTGATGTTGTTCAGGAAGTTGAGACTCTCAGTGATTGCCCGTTCTTCAGCTTAATGGGAGTGAACGAGAATCTCAAAGCGAGCATCCAGCTGTGTGGAGATTCCACTGATCCGTTCATTTTGAGTTTGCAGCTCAGAGCGAACTTGTTCCATCCGTTCATCCTGACTTCTCATAAAATTCTGCTGCTGTTCCTGCATAGTGGTCATGAAATTACGTTGGTCTAATTGCATGGACTGCATCATTTCCAGAATGTCGGAGTTGTTGGGTGGCTGTTGAGGAGAAGGAGGTGCCTCAGAGCTATATTGATAGGGCTGATAGAATCTCCCAAGTGTGGTCCACCCAGTGTATTGCCATTCACCCCAGCCTTGGTTATTTTCCTCACTATCAGTTTCTTGTTGACCCGTGTAAGCAGTCCAGTCATTATTGAGGTTGGAGTTTGGTGGCGGCTCTTGATAGTTGAGGTTGAAACTTGGTGGCGGCTCTTGATAGTTGTCTGGAGGCTCATATGTTTGACGCTCTGTATGATCAGCTTGGTCTGGTTGCATTGTGTCAGCAGCCTGTGTATCCTGTTCTTGTTCTTCTTCACTTTCATCTGAGCCATCTGCACTTGCTTCATTCTCTTCACCTTCGGACTCATCTGCACTCTCTTCACTTGATGATTCTGACTGAGGCATATTTGCGCGGCGATAGAACTTGTACTTCTAGTATTTACGAATCCAGACGTATCCCATCATTGAGAAAACTTTTGGACTGAATTCTTTGTCAGCGGAAATGGAAGTGTATGCAAAGGAGGGGTAGTTCACATTTGCAGAATTGAGGACCTATTGGATGAAGGATCCAT